TTGGCACTCTCCCCCACCAAAGCCCTTCTGAAGTCAGTACCTTGTGCCCTACTGGAGACCAAGGTCAAGGACAGTACTTCTGGCTCTAGCAGTGCCATCATTGCCTCCTTCCTCTCCACCAAGTTGTCTCATTGTAACTTTTTTTTTTAATTTTTAATTTTTTTTTTTTACAGAGGTTTTGGATTTCCATTCATTCACTGCCGCAGTTTTCTCCCTTCCCACCCCTCCCCACCAGCTCACTTCCCCCTCCGAAGAGAGAAAAAAAGAAAAAAATTCCTTCATTAGTATACAATTCCCACGTCCCTTCCCCCCACCCCCCACCCCGAGTACACTTCTCTATGCAACCTTAATTCTGGATTCCTGTGCTAACCATAATACTCAATCATATATCACTTCTAATCTGTTCTTTCCCTCATCTGCTTCAATACAATATACATAATTTATCCAAGTTTTTCTGTCATACCCCTACCCTGATGACACACCCATTCTACAACAGTGGCACCATACAGTATTTGTCCCTTTGTGACTGAGATATTTCACTCAGCATAATGTCCTCCAGGGTCACCCACTTTGAATAATATTGCATGAGTTCCTTGTTTTTCAATGCTACGTAGTCTGTTGTGTGGATATACCACAGCCTCTCTATCCATTCGTTTTGTTGATGGACCCTTAGGCTGCTTCCAACTCTTTGCTATTGTAAACAAAGCTGCAGTAAACATGGGTGTGCATATATCTGCTTGGATGGCAGACATGGTCTCTCTGGGGTATATTCCCAGTAATGGGATTGCTGGGTCAAATGGTATCTCTGTTTGCAATTTTTTGAGAAAGTGCCACACCGCCTTCCACAATGGTTGCACCATCTTACATTCCCACCAACAGTGAATAAGAGTTCCAGTTTCTCCACATCCTCGCCAGCATTTGTTGCTTGCTGTTCTGTTATATTTTGCTATTCTGACTGGGGTGAGATGATATCTCATAGTTGTTTTGATTTGCATCTCTCTTAGAGCTAGGGACTTTGAACATTTCTTCATGTGCTTGTTGGCCATCTGAATGTCTTCTTCGGTGAAGTGTCTGTTCATATCCTGTGCCCATTTTTCTATTGGATTATTTACCTTTATCTTATTATGGTGTTCAAGTATTTTATAAATTCCGGCTGTAAGTCCCTTATCTGACATATCATTACCAAATATTTTTTCCCAGTCTGTGGCTTCCCTTTTTACTCTATTGGAGAAGTTTTTGGATGTGCATAGGGATTTGATTCTTAGAAGGTCCCATTCATCTATTTTATCTTCTCCTGGTTGTAGATTTTCCAGGATACTTGGAAGACTTTTTATGTTGTGGATTAGGACCACTAAAGTTCTTCCAAGCTTTTCTTGAATGAAGTTTATAGTCCTTGGTTTTAGTCCTAAGTCCGTGATCCACCTTGAGTTGGTTTTTGTATATGGAGTGAGGTGTGGATCTTGTTTTAGTCTGCATACAGCTTTCCAATTTTGCCAGCACCATTTGTTAAAAAGGCTGTCATTTCCCCACTTAACTGGTTTCATCTCCTTGTCAAAAATCAGTTGACCATAGGTAGATGGGCTGATTAATGGATTCTCAATTCTGTTCCATTGATCTATGTGTCTGTAATTGTACCAGTACCATGCTGTAATTGTAACTTTTAAGTAGGCATGATTACTTTCCCCTTCCACAAATGGAGAAGGGTCTTCCAGAGTAGAGAACAGACCCGCTCAAGGTTGAAAAAGTAATAAAGGCAGTAGAGCAAGCATTCAAACCAAGGTTGTCTGAAGGCAGGCTGTGAGATGGCGAGCTCCACACGGTGCTCGGGTTGGTCCTTTTTCATCTTCCTCTGTCAATTTAATTTAGTTCTTGGAAGCAGTAGTCAATAAATCAAAAGATGTGGTGCATTGAGAAAATCTGCTGTCAAGGATCTATCCAAGGTAATCTTCACTGGGAGCTAGATGTTCTGCCAGATGGGTCCTTTTTCTCCCGTGGCTCCATGGCACCAACACCATCCCACCATTTCTTCCCGTGCCCAGGGCCCGTGGCCACTGGCAGCTACTGCTGCCCACCATGTGGGGTTTCTGTCATGCAGGGGTGCCTGCTGCCTGGCCCAAGCAAGAAGATTTCTGGCTCCAGCAGCTGCATGGGACTGCAGCAGCATGGGCTCAGTGGCAGAATAGTCAGAGGCAGGGGAGCTTACCCATGGTTTTTCAAGAATCTTTGTCTTCTTGATATTGAACTTTCATCCATGTTGAAGACCAGTAGTCAGTTGTTTAGCTGTTTCGGTGTAGATAAACTGTGAGCTGTGGAAGGCCATGGTGATCCTTTTCAATGGGACTCAGTGCACCTCCATACTCCTCACACTGTTTACCCCCATAGCCGTCATCTTGGTATCCCCTATCACCTCCTCACCTTCTTCATTGTATTTTGAACCTTATTTTCAGTGGCTGATAGGCAGTTGTAGTGTAACATTTGTTTCATTGTGTACCATCAAGTAGAGAGAGACCCATAGCTGGTCCTCCAGCAAGTTTTCCAAGACAGTAAATCTCACAGGAGGAGATTACCCATCTTTCTCCCATGCAACAGCGGCCAGTGGATTCAGAGTCTGTGCTTTTGGGTTAGCGGTGCCACTCCTTACCACCTAGAGCTCCCTGAGGAACATTTTAGGTGCGAGGAAAACAGCCCTGGGAGCACCGACAAGCTGGGAGCTAGAGCTGTTCCTGCCTCACTGGTAACTTCATAGTTCGAGATAAGAGTAGCTTATTTCAGGAAGGGATCTTTACTATAGCATTTTGTTTTGTAAGCCTGTATATAAATCCAGGTTCAGCCATATGCTAATTCAGTAACCCCGGGCTGTTACTGATTGTATCCTCATTTGAAAGATGAGGTAACTAAGAAGCTACTTTAGCATGCATGCTTTAAAATCGTGTGTCTAACCAGGTAGTAGAGGTAACATGAATATCTGGTCTTAGTTTCTCTTCTGTGTGGTTATGGTGAATAGTACTGAGTATCCCATGGTGTACCAAAAGAACAAACAAGTCTGCTTTGGAAGACGTGCAAACAGTGAGTGCCTTAGGGGCAAAGATGATAAAGCCTCATCTCACTCACTTTGGGCACATTTTAAAAAGCAACCAATCCTTGGCGAGAGGCATTATGCTGGGAAAGGTACAGGGCCAAAAAAAAGGAGAAGACCCCCAAAGAGATGAATTGGCACAGTGACTACTACAGTAGACCTGGGCATGGCAAAGATTGTGAAGGTGCTGCAGGATCGGGCCAGGGTTCAGACCTGTTGTTCATAAAGTTACTGTGTGTTGTAGTTAATCTGACAGCACCTAACAACAGTAGTCCGTTTTAGAAGATTCATTTTGTCGGAAGATTACTTACTTTATTGTAGCGGAATACACATTATACTTCTTATCACACCAAAATTGTGCCCCCAGTATAGGATCTCAGGAGTTGATTATATTGTTCCCACCCACAGGAAGCGCCAGTGTCAGCTTGGAGAATTGTATCCTGGCTGTTGACCTCTGGTATCAGATGTAAAATTGATGTTCCTTCCCATAACTGAAACAGTTTCTTTATCCTACTTAAATATATGAGTCTTAAAAATTAACTTTAACTCACCTGCCCCTTTGGGTTGAACTAGTGGCTAGAAAAAAGGGTTGTAATGAGATTGAGGCTGGGCACCCCAGTGATGCGGTGTTGAGGTGACTGCTGGGTGACAGGCGTGCTTGGTCGTGGATGTTTTCTTTTGTTTACTTTTCTCTCGTCCTTGATGAACATGTTGCTCCCTGGTGTCTTCTCTGAGCCCCTTGGTCTTCTAACTTGCTCTTCCCTCTGATTTTTCCCATCCAGAAAAACATTAACCCACCTACACACTTTGAAGGTGGTTGTTTTTTGGAAGCCTGGGGGCAGAAGGAAGAAAAAAAATAACAGAATTGAAACTCAGAGAGACTTTAAAATATTAATGTAATCTTCTTTCAGTGCCTATTAAAAATTTTTGCTAAGAATTTTACTAAGTACCTTAAATAATAGTCATCCTCAGTGTTTTCAAAATCTCTGATAGTCTTTTAGTTTTTCTTGGAACTTAAACCTTTATTACTCACTTGCCCCTTGCCTTCTTCAGTGTCATTTTGATTTTATTAATGATGACAGTGTGAGGTCACTGCTTCTCTTATCACATGTTATTTTACTTTTTTAACCAAAAAACCGGAATGGAAGCCAGTCTTGGTGTTCCCCACCAGCATCAGTAAAGTTTGGCTATTGGGTTGTGATTTTTTTTGTTTGGGGGTTGGTTTTTTTGTTTGTTTGTTTTGTGTTGTGTTTTGTTTTGTTTTTTAATACATCTTAAGAACTTTAGTGTTATGATTAGAATCAACTAAGGAGACTTAGGGATGTATGAGAGGAAGTCAGTGGTGCAGAGAACAGCTGAAGAGAAGGTGCCGTAGGAGAGAAGGAAAGTTCTTCACCCAGGGACATTGCTAACAAAGGCTTGTGGAGACTGGGGTGTTGCAGGAAAGTAGGAGCCTCAGATCCCCCAGGCTAGATTGAGTTTCACAGCCTCTTTCTGGGTTTTCTGTCATGATTGAGCTATAGCAGCACGGGCTTCACATTGGCCAACCCAAAACAGAGACTGGGAGGAGCCCTTACACACCTGTAGTTTCCACATGGTGCAAAATTGTTCTTGGAACTGAAGGCTGCTGGCATAAGACCAGGGTTAGCATATAGTTTATGGTTCTGTAGAAACATGACTCTTGTTTAAAAAAATATGGACCCAGTGAGGTAGGGTTGTTTGTTTTTTTAACTGTTAACTTTTGCATTGACTTTCTAGGAAAGTATCTTTCAAAATTTAATTTGCCATTATAAGCTAGACACAATTATAAATAAAAATAATGCTTTGGTTACTGTTGTCAAAAGGCTGATGTTTTATTGTTAGTACACTAATCGGACACATCATCAGGTCTTCTCAGTTTTGTTTTCCTTTTTTCTGTTTGCAGTTGCTGATATGTGTTCAAGATGAGTGGGATGGGAGAAAATACCTCTGACCCATCCAGGGCAGAGACAAGGAAGCGCAAGGAATGTTCTGACCAGCTTGGACCCAGGTTAGATTCTTGTTGAGAAAAAGAATGCATGATATTCATGAAGACCTTGAGGCCTATTTGAATTTTCGCATTGTTAATCTCGATTCAAATGTCCTATCTGATTTTTCCTGTTAAGTGTTAAACTTTTAAATACATATGTGTTTTCTATTTTAAATACACTAGTAACTTAGAGTTTTTATTACTCTTTATAAGAAGAAAACTACGTGTTACTTTTAAAACTCCCTCTGCCTTTGATTCTCTTCCTTTGATCTTGAGGGGGGTTTTTTTGGACTTTGAAACAGTCTTTCCCTGTTCAGTCATGGCAAACAAAGAAGCCAGAATGGATTAGAATTTGTAAAATACAGATATACTAGAACAAGAACTAGAAGAGTGAAAGGGATTTTTTTCTTTAATTTTTTTTAAATTTTATTTTACTAATTTTAATGAACATTTACAGAGATTTTGGATTTCCATTCAGTCATTGAAGAGTAAAAGTTTTAAGTATCCCTTCTGGAAACTCAAAATCTGTGTTAAAAAGCAAGAACAGTGTGTTGTGTAGGAACTAAATCTCTTGGCCAGCAAGAGTTCGAAACCACATAATCTAGTGCAAAGATGGCAGGTAACTGTCCTGCTCTGAATGTGTTTGCCATAATCAGCCACTGGCAGTGACACCCTTCAGGCACCTGAAAGGCCTGCTCCACCTGTCCTGAATCTCCTATTCCACAACCTTGACCTTTCTGAGTTATTCCCATTCTGGCTATCATTTCATTACATCCACTTTTTAGAAATTCAAGCAGGTCTGTTCCAGTGGCAAAGCATCAGCCATGACTGAACCAGTTCAAACAAATTTATAAAGTCCTGGTTAAATCACAGAATACTATAAAGATAAGAAAAAGGAAAAATACTTTCTTTTAGGCTGAGTTTTTTAGTTTTAATGATCAAGACATGATTTACTACACTCACTTGCTTTTGAGTTGAGGACAAAGATTATAGCGTTTAAGTGAATAAAACAAATACTGTAAAAGTTCCATTACCTTTATTATGGATCAAAGTGTAAATTGTCATAACCTTTAATCAGGTAAATTTAGCAAAAATCTATTAAAATTATAAATGCATAAAAATAAGCAGCAAAAATTTATAAGGGCATGGCTGCTTTTATTAACAAAAAAAAACCAGTGTATATGCATTCATTGGAACACGGAATGGATTGAGAAAAAGCATGGTTTTAAAAATTGTGTATGGGGTGCTACTACTTGTGAAAATGGAAGTCTGTAACTGCACTGCTTAGGATCTTAGAAAACTAGTAAGAGTTGTTTACTGTTTTGGGAGAGGAGAATTAAGGAGATAGGTTAAAAACAGGCTTTAAGTACTATCAGTTACTTAAAATGTTAGAGAAAAACAGCAAGTTTTAATATGTGATCAATAAGATTAGATAGAAGAATAATAAGGACCATTTTAAGACAAGTCATCAAGAGAAGGAAAAAAGGCTTTAAAAGGAATATTTTTTTTTCAAATCTTTCTCCAACTAAAGACCAAGCAGAACGTAGTTTTTAAGCCTAGTTTCCTTAAATCCCCTGCCCCAGCACCTCTGTTACTCCTAGATTTTCTTAGTACTTCTTGCAAGCTAAACCCTTCTACTCCTTGACTGCTTTTTATCACTCAGAAATTTACCTAAAGGGGAGTTTGGTAAAATGCATGCTGTGGCAATTTATGGTATTGCCATAGCCAGGTGGGCGTGTGGCAGAGGCCTCTCCCTCATCCATCAGGCGCTTTATAACCAGTGTATCATGTATTATTAATTATTATTATTATTTTGTGCCACTGGGCCCAAGATCAGAACTGGATTCTTCCAAACATTCTGCTCTCTCCTTCCTTTCCTCGTACTTAATAAAGTGAAAACTAGAGGTAAAATAATACTTAGAAAAATTAATTTCTCCTCACCCTCTGCTCTACCAATAACTCACTGAGTGATCTTGGACAAATCTTGAAACCACTATAAAATGAATAAATTGCGTTATATTTCAGCCTTACTACATTATGGAAGCAAATCTGACGCTTAGAGATGGATAGTTGGAAATCTATTCCAAAGTTTTAGATTTTTTTTTAATTTTTATTTTATTATTTTTGTGTGAGTGTACCATCAAATCAGATCTGACTGGTGCAGGAGGAGATTGTCCCTCCTTCCCCAGCAGAGCCTCAGGTGGATTCGAACTGTGTGCCTCTGGGATTGTAGTTGCAGCTCCTTACCACTAGGCCACCAGAGCTCCCCAAATTTTTAGATTTTTAACATTAGGATTGCATACAGATGATTCTGTCAGGAGACTGACTGATAGCTTCATAAGATAATTTTCATTTCCTATTTATTGTGTTGTTGTAAATGCCATTTACTAGACTGTACTGCACTTGAGAAAATGCACACTGTTCTTATCAAAGAAATCTATTTGCTGTTTTATCAAATACAAAGGACGTTTAACCTTTTTCCCTCTTACTAACTTTTTAAAACTTTAGTTGAACTTGGACTGATTTTGTTTTGCATGTCATTCACCTTGGGCAGTTAACAGCTACGCTGCTTCAGTTTCACTTTTGTTTCTAGCTGGTGTGTGTGTGTTTTCTATTTTATTTTGTTTGCATTTGGTTTGATTACCAACATTCTAAAAGTCTGAAATTATAGTACTTTTTTGTTGTTATATTTTGTTTTACCAAAATTATATTATGATTTGTTGTACTACATTTTTTTCTTTTCTTTACCAAAACAATCTTATTTATTCCTATCTTAATTAGGTTAAATTCACGTTCTTTTTAAAATTAACCTTAATTAAATTGTTGCACCATATTAAGCATGTGAGTCCTGGTCTTTTCTGTTATGAATCTTCTAGTCCAAAAAAAAAAAAGACATTAATTAAATATATTGAACAAATGATCACATACATAAATGCATAATTGCAAACTGAAATTTTAGTTTACAAAAACTATACATTACTTAGGGCAGTTGTAGATGTTTTTTAAACATCCCAGTGTACTTCACTGCTTATATAAATAAAAGTTTGCTGTCCTTATGTTAGAGCTTTTTTAGAGGGGTTATCTCTTTTTTTAAAAAAAAAATTATATATATATATAAAATAACTCTTTCAAAATTCATAATGAAAATGCGTTGTTTTTTTTTTTTCTGTTTAGCCCCAAAAGGAGCACTGAGAAACGTAATCGTGAACAGGAAAATAAATACATAGAAGAGCTTGCAGAGCTGATTTTTGCAAATTTTAATGATATAGACAACTTTAACTTCAAACCTGACAAATGTGCAATCTTAAAAGAAACTGTGAAGCAAATTCGTCAGATCAAAGAACAAGGTAAGAGAACTGAATTCATATTTTGAAGGGTTGTGTTGATTTCTGTTTTACCATGTGTGAGAAGTACCTTCAGAATCCCTTTAATCCATTTCTGATGCTTAAATTATTGATGAGGAAATGATGTCACCATGCAAGACAAATGCAAGTATCACTTGCAGTGGTTTATAAATAGGCATTATATAAAATTCATCCATTCCCTAAAGACAGAGGAGACTGAGGTGAGTCAGGGTGATGCAACTTTTCATCTAGTAAAACTAAATTAGGGGCCCACTGGCTCTCCACCCCACCTTGGAGTTCTCAGTGCTTACACAGCAAGTGGCTGTCATAATTTGCAAGTGAGGATCCAGTTCACAATGGAAACCAGAAGTAAGGAAGTGAGGCACCTTCTGTTTCAGCTAGTCAGCATATTTTATTGAGTCAGAGGCTCCACTGGCCACGCCACCAGATTAGAATTTCATGTCCTGAATGCCAAGCACTTTGAAAGCCTCTAACTTCTAGTGAGAATTCTTTTGTGAAGTTGAAACATAGAACATGACAGTTTTCTTCCTGGGGTTTTCTTTTACTCTTAGATCATTTTTTGCCTCTCTTCTTTGATACTATTGCTTACAGAAAGGTTTTAAGAAAATAATATTTTTTTTAAAAATTTTGACTTTGTGGTCCCCAAAAAATCCTTTTTAAGGCAAGTATGAACAGTGTATATTCAGTGCTCAGGGCTAAGTGTACTCTTGAAGTGTCTGTCTGGTGCTTTCCTTGGGCTGAGGTAGATTATTATCTCTTGTAATCCATTTTTTTAATGCATTCTTTCAGATTACATATTTTTAATAATGTCTTTTATAGAACATTCATGGAATATTTTCTTGTCTCTAGTTATATGTCCCTGAATCTGTCAAAAATCCTGTCTGAGCTTAATATCATCATTGGATTTTCTAGTTTCATGCATAGACTTTGTATAAACTCTCTTTTTTAAGAACTTGCAAATAAGTAGAGGATACACAACATACTTTCTAATACAATGCATTCGGAAATTCAGTTACTTAGTGGTTCCTCCCTGAGATTCTTAACCTGTGAGCCAAGTTGTTGTTTCTCTTAGTACTTGTTTCAATCAGTCTTCATCTCTCTTCTCTGTTTGGGGTTCACTCTTCAACAAAAACCATTTCAATCTCAATTTGAACATTTTCTCATTTTTTTTGGTGCCAGCAAATGGATAAAATAGTATTCCCATGACTTAAAAGGAACTGTATTGGAGTAACCTCTTGCGTGTTATGATCCTAACCAAAAGACAGCATCTCCTGGTGGTTCTGATCCCTCAGCAGTTCTGTGGAAGAAAGAGGAGTTGACTCCTCAGAAACATGATGGAGGGTCACTGGACGTCGGAATCAGCTGATGGCAGTGGTTTTGCATTTGAGAGTTCTTGGGAGAATTGACTAGTTAAAGTTTTAAGGCATATTGGCATTGTTGTATTACTGGTTGCTGACATCACTGCAGTAGAGTTTTGTTGGGTTGTTTGGGGCTTTTTTGTTTTTGTTTTTGTTTTGTTTTTGTGAAGCAAGAAATACTTTATTGTCCATGGGGAGGGCTGAGAGTCCACAGTCTCTCATGGGTCAGGCTAAGTAGAGAAATCTTTAAGCTTATTCTTAGATTTCTGAAGAGTTTGAGTGACACGAGTCTGTGAACATTGCACATTATATAATACATTACATTTTGAAGTAATTCTATTTATATAAGCCACTAGCAAGGTCTTGCACAAGATTTTAAAGTTTTGCAAAACCTTGTTAATTCCCCCTTAAACCATAAAACACGTTCAGATGTGTCATGCTGGGACTGTGCCATACTGTAACTTGCTTTATTCACAGTCTGCATGCCACAGCCACCCAAGAAGCAACAACAGTAAACACCTGGTCACATCTTACTCTTTTAACAATGTTCCTACAAATTTGAAAGCAACATGTTTTGAAGGTGGAAACCAAAGTTAAATGCCACCCAAAAATTGAAAAACACAATCATAATTTCTCAACTAATCAGATGTGTTTTTTATTCAAAATGGGTGACCCTGGAGGACATTATGCTGAGTAAAATGTCTCAGTCACAAAAAAGACAAATACTGCATTTGTACCACTGTTGTAGAATGGGACTGACATCAGGGTTGGGGTGGTTGTTGTTGTTATGTGCTGACGAGTTGCTTGTGACTCATAGCAAACCTATGTACAACAGCCCTAAACTCTCGCACTGTCTCTGACACTCCCATCCCGATTACCCCCCAGAGGGCCTTCCCCTCCTGCGCTGTCCCTCCACCCTCCCATGCATGATGTCTTTCTCCAAGGACCGGTCTCTCCTCACAACATGTCCAAAGTATGTTAGACGGAGCCTCAGAATCCTTGCCTCCAAGGAGCCACCCAGTTAAACCCTT